ACTGCCATTCATCAAGCTGTTTGGGGTAGACACTCCGGAAGCAGCGATTCTTGGCTGTTCTCCGGTCTGGGATGGGCAACCCAGAGGCGCAGCCCTGCCCGAAATAACAGCACACTTTGCACAGACCCGGCGGGCCGCAGCAGCCTTCACAGCCAAGGGCATTTTCAGAAATTCACGACTGCAGGCTCACCCCGGGAAACACACCCAGGCAAAAAGTAACCATTTTGATTGTTACAAAAATATACCAGCAAAATAGAAAAAGGCCCCCATCTGCCCAGTGTGGGCTTGTCCATCAGCGGCGACTGCTTCGAAATAGATTTTCCAAACTTCTATCCTCGTCTTGTCCAGCCTGGCTCTCTGCAGGAAAATCAATATCACAACTTCACACTTAAGACATTTTGCAGCAAGTGAACTGCCTCCCATGGCAGCCCATTGTGGACGGAGCGGCAAGCATGACACGGGCACGGAGCTCCCCCTAGCGGCCAAGTCGGCTCCAGGCGCCCTGCAAGCTGCCCAGCCTTGCCACCCACCCAAAGCCAGTTCCACCTAAAGTTTATTTTGGAAAGTACTTGATCAGAACCAGCAACTGAGAAGGCAAAGCCATGGAGCTCAGGGACCAAGGGGGAGTGGGAGGGAGAAGGCTGATGCAGGCTGCGTGTGGGGATAGAAACCCGTGTGCTCTCTGGAGTCCAAAACTGGTATCTGTAATCGATCTGCCTGACACGCCTGTATCACCTGAGACAGAATTCTAGTCTCTTCAAACATACGCAAAGCAGACAGCCCCTCCTTGGGCCAGGCCTGCATCCTGACCTCTCTGTTCCTAAGGCCGGCTTCATAAAAGCCACTAGAGCCAGCCAGCCAGAACCCCAAGATATGGAGAGTCTCCCATGAAGAAATGTTGTAAAAGGCTGACAAAAATCTCCAAGGTCAAAACGCAGGGCAGAGAGCATCTCCCATCCGGAGAAAGAACTATGTGTAATATTCAGAGAGAATATATATATATATATATATATATATATACACACACACATCCTTTAAAAATGTGAAAGCCCAAAACCCACTGCCACCAAGTCCATCCCGATTCCCAGCAACCCTACAGGACAGGGTCGAACCACCCAAAGCTGTTTCATCGTTCTCCCTTGGAGCAGCTGGTGGGTTTGAACCACCGACTCTGTGGTTGGCAGCCTAATGCTTTAACCACTGCACCACCAGAGCTCCTAGTTAAAAATATTAGGGGTTGTGAAAATATGCTGACGGCTATTTTCTCTCAGGTGTGAATTACCAATGAATAAAATCAGCCTGGCATAACACCTTTGATGAACACATTTCTGTCCTCCCGTGGAATGGAGCAGCTGACTTGTATCACACTTCTAATGACGGGGTTCCCTTCTGTGCAGAAGGGGACAGGCTATACCCCCCCTTGCCACCAACCACCAAAAAAAAAAAAAAAGGGAGAGAGGGCCCCAGTCCTACGAAACGGATCAGAGGCCTTATTTTGAAAGCTATGTGGACGACTGGAGATACACTATATATTTATAGTACACACACTCTCACACACACACACACACCCCCCTTAGAGAGTTCAGATAATTGTGAGCACTGCCATCTTCAAAACATACAGCTACAGCAAAACCTCATTGAATAGGCAACCACGGAATTAACACAGTTAGCCGAAGTTATGCCTCAAATCTCAAGTCTCAGGCTGTTTTGCAAAATCTTGAATCCATATGGAAAGTGACCAGTCTTCCGAGGAGACCTGTTGGTGGCTTGCCGAACAATCACCTTAACTGGGGCCGTGCCGTTTCTCCCCAACACCTTCTTTTTCTCTGAAAGCAAACTGCGCTCCTGCCTCCAGTGGAGTCCATTTTGCTTTCCCGGGCCCTGTCTGCACCAGCAGGCCCTTCCCTCTGCCTGGCCACTTTCATCTCCTTCCCTTCCCTCTCGTCCCTATTGTCACCGTGTTGTTTTGTGTTTGTTTTTATTCATCGCTGTGTCTGTCGTCCAGTTTTAAAAGCCATACCCATCTGGGTCAAACATTTGAAACAAGCCAGAAGTCCAGGTCAGCACCCCCAGCTGCCTCCCAAACTCTTTCTTTCCTAGCTCAGCCCTCTCGCGCTGGCCCCGTCCGTAAATTCAGTCAGCACGTCAGGGCCCAGGACAAAGATTAGCGATGCTGTCTGTGATGGTCTCTCCTCAGCAGTCAGTTATCCGAAGTTGCATCATCCCTGTGGAGGCTGAAGCTGCCGCTCCCCAGGCCGGAGGGCTGCCACCCAACGGATAAAGATGCACTGTTTTTGGTGATTTCTTTCACATTTACAACCTAAACTAGGAACCCAGGGGGACAGGAGACTGCCACAGCACCCACCTTGCTAACCAGCCTTCCAGAGCAACCTACACCCATCAGTGGCCTTGAAGCACTGCCACAGCCAAGCTGCCGAGAAATGCATTGACCCGGGCCTCTCGCCTGCCTGGGCTACCACTCCTGGGCAAATGCAAGACAGAGAGGAAAAACAGCTGCTTTGTGGTAGTAAGTAGCCTTCTCTGACAACTGGCTGAACTACTCTCCCTGCTCAAAGACCCTGCCCATGCCGTGGCTCGGGTGGCCCTGGAAGGCAGGCAGCCAGGTTCCCTTGGCCCCGCCATCACTCCTGTGTCCGCCGGCTGTGCAGGCACTGCGTGGAGCCGGGCTAGGAGAGACTCAGAAGGACTGCAGGATGGAGGTGCTGTCCGTGCACCCCTCACCCCCACGGCCAGCAGCAGCCAGTCTCTGTGGCCAGGGCTTTCTCCTGCTGTTCTAGGAATGCCAGGCAAGGCAAGGAGAGCTCAAAGGCAGGCCAAGCCTACCTGCCTCTTCCCCTGACACACAACAGCAGTCTCTCCTGGCTCCTGTCAGGCAGCCCGCCTGGCAATGTACCCCCAGCGACTCCCCCTTATACAACCCCCCCACCTCCCCCTCCTCAAAAACAGCCCTTGCAATTATACAGAGGCTACTAAAGGAAATTGCCTCCTGGAGAAATTAGGCGTCTGTAAGCATACATGTTTTAACAACCACCCCACCATTAAAAAAAAAACAGGGGAGGGGGTGCTGGCTGAGCGCTGGCCACCAATCTGGAAAAGAACGAAATGTCAACTGGAGAAAAAGACCTTGATCAAATCAGGCTCCAGTCTGGTTACAAAATATTTTGTTTCAAATGCAACCATCCAGTCTTCTTTGAAGCTATGATGGCAGAAAATGATAATAATAATAATAAAAGAGAACTCCCCTTCCTTCCCTCCAGAAAAGTATCCGCCCTCCCAAGCCGAAGCCCCCTTTAAGAACTAGCCCCCCATCCCCAAAAAATAAACAAATCCACAAATTCTTACTAACGTATCTGCTGTAACAAAGAAGAGCTCCCACCACCACAGCCAAGGCTCCGAGCAGATGGCTCCTGTGCCGGTTTGCAGGGGAGGGGAGAACCCCTTTATATATTTATTTATTTATTTAAATTTTTTAAAATATAACATAAATATTCGGCTCGCGGCCGCCTTGCAGCCAGTCCTCGGCGGCGGCTGGGCGCGCAGCCCTCCGCAGCTCCGCGCGGGCAGCCGGGCCCCAGCCCTGCGAGGCGCGCGGAGGACCTGCAGCCACACGGGCTGCCCGCGGTCTCGGTGGCGCCCAGAGGATGTTTTATTTCTACTGCACTCCTCTGTCTGCGTGTGTCTGTATCTCCATAGACATCCCTGCAAAGGGACGGCGACCCGGGCAGGCTCCGCCAGAGCAGGACGGCGGGCAGAGCTCGCGCGCGGCTGTGCGGCCGGCGGGCGGGCCGAGGCGGCGGGGAGAGCGCGGCGCCGGGCTTCTCCGAGCGGCTGTGCGGGGCCCGGGCGGGCTCCCTGCACACAGGGCACCTGGCCCGATCCCGCTCGCTGTTTTCCGGGTCCAGAGGCACCCACCCCGGGCTCTGGAAGCGGCTGCCTGACTTCGCCCGCCCCGCCACTTGCGGCCAATGCACGCGGTTCCCGCCGGTGGATTTCCACGGCGCCCTGCGTGTTTATTTGGATGCGGAGAGGAAGGGTACGCGACGGGAGCGCCGGCTACCAGATGGATGGGTAGGGCGCCCGCTCGCTCCCTG